CTGAAGCTCCGTCCTCCCAGGTAACACCACAGAATTAATGCTTTGATTATAGCCCTAGTTTCCAGTCCCAAAGTTGGAGAAGCAAATGAGGCCCACAAAAGGGCAACACAAAACTGTTCTAACAGTGTTTCTATAAATAATGTCTATACCAGTGCACAAATCTCTGGTATTGGAAAGAAAAACTACAAAGACTTAATTATGGCAATGCAGCAGCCTTCCTCCACAAATTCAACCTCAAGTGCATTACTTCCCCCCATACTGCCTATATGTTCTAAAAACTAAACCTTCAGAGTACCAGAACAATCCAAAATACTTAGAGACTATTAGACTTGTATATACAAAGGACTTCATCACACAGACAGGCACCCTAGAGATCTATTTCATGCTACTTTGCTTTCAGAAATCTCAGTTAAAGAAACATTCAAACCATTTTCACTGGTTTTCCCTGATGAAAATCTTTCTTAAAATTGGGTAAGAAGAACCATAAATGAGAGGTTTTGGTGGAATTCTTAGCCATGGGGATAATGTAAAGCATGAGAGAAGCACATACAGGTAGTAAGTTACTTTAACAACATCGTTACCTTGAAAAGTAGGAAGCTGAGATTATAGTGAAAAAAGTCCTTCTCAATTCTTTTTTCCAAGAAAGGCTAAAGCTGGTAGGTTAGACCTGACACATCTGCTAGAGACAGTCCCAGTAAAGAACAACTTCAGTTCTGAAATCAAACCAAGACAATGTCACTCTGCAGACGATGCAAGAATGACTGGACTGAAATCGAATGGAGGGAGCACAGAACATACAGCTGAGACCCACACACACAACAGCAAGGAAGAGGACACCTAAATACTGAAGTAAAACAGGACACAAGTCTTTCCCACACAGATATTCACTGCCTTCTAGGCCACATGCTGGAAGCTCCAAGCCTCCCTTGCTGTCCAGCCTGGGAATTTCAAACATTTGGACTTTCCCTGTTAGAGTTGCCCCTATAAAGAACACACCCCAGTCAGGGGGGTGGTCTGTTCTGGCTGCCTTTCCTAAAGCCCAGCTCTTCCCGAGCAGCCAGGGACTAACACTAAGTTTCAGATTTCATTCTTCAAGCTAATTCCACAGGCGACAGGACAATTTGCCAAGCTAAGCTCAATCTAGCACTAGTTCTAACGCTCCACCAGATGCACAACAGCTAAAAAGGTGAAGTTGAGCACTACCACGCTGTTTGCACGCTGCAGAACAACCTGATGAACAACCAAGGCCACAAGACTCAGTAAAAGCATCAGCTTGATCAGCATCTCGGGTGAAAGCTGTGCAGAGCAAACCCAACTTCATTTCCATCGTGGTTACTCAGTCCATCACAATGAAGGCTGAAAACAGAGAGATGTGCTGAGCAAGGCAAAGGACAACTTGCTTTACTTGTCACCTACGGTGCTTCTCCAAGCCTTGGTTTCTTTGATGTTCGGTCCTCTTTCAACACCAGCCTGCAAAGTTATATTTTGGAGTATTTACAATTCAGTATTTTTGGTTAAATTTCTCTAAAAAAGGAGTTTAATGCTGCTTAAAATCCATTCGCATGTGTTATTGAGGACACATTTCATTACTGGCATGACTGGTGATGTACAACAGCCTGCCCCCAAGCCACTGCTGCTTTACAGCTTTTCACTGCATTCCTAGTCAAGAGGAAAAATAAAATCAAGTTCCACTGGAGCTTGTTCAAAGTATTCACTTTTCAGAAGTGGCAATACTTCAATACAGCAGCTTGTACAATTTAGTTGCAGTATTGCTGAACAAGGGCCATCCAGCTTCAAGTTTTTTGAAATCCAACTCTCCCAAGGAAGGGCAAGAGCCCCTTATTCAGGCAGTTCTTTCAGAGTCTGGGGTTTTTTTCTCCCCTTCTCAGAGTTCCACCACCTCTGTGACAACTATTTCAATGTCATTAGCTGCCTCACACACAAATTCCAGAAAAACTTCCAGCTGGACCTCTCCATGGTTACCTTATCACAATTTTTAGCATTAACACCATTAAGGGGTTAATAAGGACCCATAAGGTCTGTTGTTCCACCCATGGGGGGGAACAAAACCTCTGAAATACCCAGTTGCCCCCAGTAAGCCCTAGAGAGCACATTTCCAGTTACCAGCTTAACCTGCAGCCACATTCAGGTGTCAAACCAACTGCTGCTTTCCCAGCTTCACATTAAGATTCCAAGTTTCAGAAGATGAACCAAAGCTAGGAATCAGCAATCGTATTTTAAGTGAAGCCTTTACAAACACTGCTTTTTGCTGGACAGCAGTGACTCCAGAAGCAGCTTCCCCATGCCAATGAACATTCTAGAAAGCTGCCTGTTTGCCCTCCCCCCCAGCTCACTTTGCACGGCTCCGCAGGTCCAAGCCTTACTTCCAGGTGCACATTGGCACTTGCTGGAGGAGAGCAGAGCACCTCTGGCTCAGAACAGCACAACCTGACACCTCAGAACAGACTAAAGGTGAGAGATACCACTGCTTGCAACAAGATCATGCACATTTCTTCCCTGCTGCTACTCCCTGTAGCTCTGAGAAGCAGGGACAGACTCGAGGCTTCCTTACGGGATGAAACATTACCCCTGGAATCACTACAGCCAGCTGGGGTTCACCTCCCTCACACCATCACCAGAAACTACTAATCAGATGAGGGGAAGAACAGGTCAGGGCTACTCATGCTCCAGTTCACCATTAGATTTCTACGGCATCGAGTCCACTCTGTCAGAACTTCTCAGCTGCTCCCCCCAAAGCAAGGGCAGGGTTCTGGCTGTTCTGCTGAAAAATACACTCCGAATAAGGACAGTTCACACCAAAGGAGGCTGTGGTTTGTGACCTCTGCCCATCCCACAAGCAGCTGACACGTATGCAAGTCGATGCACCAGTCTGGACACAGCAACCCTGCACCGTCCAAGGGAGAAGCTGTTAAAGCACCAGGAGCTGAGCTCTCGGCAAAAAGTCAGCATTTCAAATTCCGGAATTACCTCCACTTTGAGGTCTTCCATGAAAGCCACTCAGTCAGCCTGAAATTTGGAAGCATTACGTAGAAAGAAATAGTTGTCTTTTAACAATCCAGTTAATTCACAGGAATTGAGTGCTGGGCACATTCCTGAAGTTTTCCTGACAGCACTGGGAAGTTACTGCACCGATATCTAGAAGGGGGGTGGAATCACAAGTCACGAAGCTCATTTCTCAGCATTTCAAACCCATATGGGATCTAACAGGCAGCTCTTTACACCACCAGCAACCCAGGCCAGAGACAAATGCAGAACAGTTGCACGTCCTGGCTCAGACATTTCAGCACCTAAAAGGTTATTTTGAAGGAAACGTGACGTTACTTTGACTCAGCCAGCGAAAGCTACTATGAAACAAGTGCATGTTGAAGTATCTGGACGTTTCATTCTAGTTCACAGCATTTGATAAGCTCTAATGCACTATTTGGAGTCACGTGCTCTGGAAGGCACCAGCGATACCAAGGAGAAGAGTCCTATCTCCTTATATCCAGTTACACTTCCCAGCAGGAAGCCACCAGGGCAGGAACAGCCATCACAGCCTTTTGATCTCTGCAGGTGAAGAGACCTTGAACTCTGTGCTGGTTGCTAACCCAGCTCCTCCGAGTCACTCCATGGAGACAATTCCTCTTCCTTGCTACAGCAGACTTGCCCGTTACTCCAGCAGCCCAACGATCCCCTTCTCCTTAAGTTACTCCTTTTTTCCAGGTTAATTGCCAGCAAAGCACTGCACAGCCCTGTTCCTCCTACTCCTGAAAGCTGACAACATACTTCTCTCCACCATCCTGGGCTGCACGTAGGTGGATTGAGATCTGAGATAAAATATTGTATCCTCTATTTCAGAAGCCTGGGCATGCTCCATTTCTGTCTCCTCCAGCTGCAGATGGCTGTTTTTATGTAAAAAATAAATAAAATACAATGAGAGCTTATCAAGCTGACCTACTCCACCTCTGTGGTATCATTAGTGGGTTGCATGGCAGGTTACTTAAGCAGGTTAACAGTGATATTTTAATAATTGCTAGTGCAGTTAATGTAATGAATATTAACAGCATCCTAGATAGGCACCTACAGCACTGCCAGCAAGAGAACTCAGCTTGGCCCTCTATATATCACTCCTATAAAGTGAAGTAGGACAAGAGCACCTTTTAGTGCAATCACTCAAAAAACAACATGGTTTGGTCAGCACCACTGTTTGAGCCCCTTTGTCCCCTCCCCAAGCTCCAAAGCAGGCACAGAAGCACTTGTCACTGAAGCATTTTAGACCCTCATGCCCCGCCTTCACTTATCTGCACAAAGTTTCAACACTTACAGCTCAGTATTTCCTGTGCTAGGAAAGAAAGCACCACTTCTATCTCCCAAACCACAGCGATCAGTAACAGCTGAAGCAAAGCAGGTATCAGATGTCAGCCTCCCCCCCCCCGAGTTCACAAGCACTCCTTCATAAAAACTCCTTCACCTCCATCAAAAAAGTTCATTTTCAAATACCACGTGCTTTAGTAACAGACAAAAGGCAGCTCAGCTCTTTATCTACAGCTCAGAGCATGACAGGTACTACAAGAAACCTGTCATAGCTCCCTCCGTCACGCTCTGTCCCTTCCCAGTGGACTCACCGAGGAATCTAAACGTGCCTTTATATTCACCAGAAAGCCAAGCTGCACCTCCACACTCAGCACTACCTGACATGATTCACTAGAGAAGCTCTTTTCTTCTAACAGAAAGCCTTATTGACACGGCTACATCACACAACCAAACAAACAGGTGAAGCACACAGGAAAGCGCCTGTAACACTTGAAGCCTGCAAGAGTTACAAGCTCACACCCAACCTTCCCCCAGCGAGGGAAGTGTGCACGGAAAGGAAAGAAATCAATTTCCTGTGCAGAGATGTGAAGAAACACCAGGTCTCATCTGCTGATAAAAAACCAACAAGAGCGGGAACAACTTCAATGCACACATTTAAGCTCCATGTCGGGGGGCAAAGCACTTACCAAGGAAGGGCAACATCTGCTCAGATCCCAGTGAAAGAACAGGACTGTTAAGAGGAACAGGGGGAAGAGGCGCAATTAAAGCCGCAACACCATGTCAATAAAAAGCCTTAACAAGCCCCACGTATAAAAGGCAGGGGAATTCGGCCCCGCGCACAAGGGCAGCTGAGCGGAGCTGACACACGGCGGCCCGAGGAGCCCGGCAGGGGCCGGCGGTTGCCAACGGCACGGGGCGATCGCGGCGGGCTCGCGGGGACCGGCCACCCCCGGGGGAACCGGCCACCCCCGGG